TTATGGGTTGTACAGTCGTGTAGTCTGGTAAATTTGACGAACTTTTCAGAAGTCATTGCTGCCACCATCACCAGTGCACTCATCGCCCTGATAATGGAATCAGCAATGCCTTTGAAACGTCAGTAAATTTCTACAAGACTCACGGAGCTACAACCCAGAAGACAGGCTTTTTCGTACTCAACCGCTGTCAGAACCTCAAATCCTACTCAAAGTGGGTCGCTTAGTCTGAAAGGTTGAAAGTGCTTAAGTAGGAAGTCTGTTTTATAACATTAAACGCGAAACATTGCGTTCATTTATGGTAAAAAGCAAAGGAAGAAGACCTTCGTTTCTGCCCACCGTGCTGGATATTGAAAGGAATCACGTTCAAAAACTCCAACTGACTCTTACTCCAGCATTAATCAAGCAGCTCAGTTTGAAACAGTGGAAGGAAGTTCTTGCAGTTTTACTGTCCCCTTTTCCTTACAAACAAAACCCCCCCCCCCAGCTGTAATCCATGTTAAACCCTGAATGTTGGTGCAATGCTGGTAGACTGCAGACAGCAAAACAAGACATTTCTTCTTTTTTTTCCCGTTACGTAAGTTTCTGGAGAAAATGGTAAATTATGGGTCCCACTGGAATTGACCGACTTAAACTTTAAACTAGATACGGCTATTACGATGTTAGGTATAAATCGCGATGTCAAACATCGACTGAAAAAATATGTCGAGGGAGATTTGGCTGCGGTCCGTAGGTACACCGGATGTTTTTGGAATAGACATACCGTACGGAATTCTAGTCACCTAAACGATCGTGCTTTTAGGCTTGGGAATTTTCTACGAAACATAAATATGCACTGAAGTTAAGGCACAGGTCACATTGTTTTATTAAGAAAATGCTGCTTGTAATGACATCCTGTCTGCGCTAGAGGGTGTGTATGTGTTTCGTCTGTGAAACTTTTCCGCATAGACCTAATTACTATCCAACTCTTTTGCTAATTAATTTCCAGCAATTCAGATAAGTTCCTTTAATCTGGAGTTAGTTGTTTCTCCTAATTAGTTCAGGTGATACTCTAGCTTTTGTCGGGATATGCGACATGTAATCCTTCGGCCGTCGGCATGTCGTCGGGCATTACACGCGCCCACTTGTAAACACAGGGGCACGTGGCTTCCGTTAAGAGGTTTCCTGTGCCATTCGGGGCGTGAAACTTTACAATGCACATTCTGTTGCTTCAGACTGGAGCATGACGTAGGCGTTAAATTAAAATGTTCCGCCAGCCTGTCATATATGGGGTTATGGTATTACGTCATGTTCTAGGTTGGTACTCCTGAAATATAGCGTAACTTTGAAACGTTGTCTTATTCACATTGTTTAATCTCTGAAGTTGTATAAAACTCGAGTATTAAAAAGGGCTGTCCGAGAGTGGACATTGTTTTAAATTGCGTTTGAGATAGTTTTGATACGCCATTAATCTCAGTGCAGATGCAGATGCATTGGAGCGAAGTCACTCACAGATATCACATTTCATAGTCAGTATTATGTTCCGCGACTTTTGATTTTTGAGAGCATGATTCTGAGGAGAAAATTTGGATCTAGGAAAGAGAAAGAGAAACTAACAATGATGTAGATTACGTGACGATGGCTTAATGATTTGTACTCTTTTCCGTGTATTTTTAGAATGATCAAAGAATAGAGGATGGAAATGGATAGGACATGTAGCACGTATTGGTAGATGCTTACAAAATTTTAGTCGGAAAACATGAAGAGACCATCAGGGAGAGTTAGGCGTAAATGTGGGACTAATAGGAAGATGGGTTAAAAATAGGATGTAAAGTGTGTACTGGATTCAGCTAGGATAAAGTCAAGTGGCGTGGCGGGCTTTTGTGAGCGCTGCAATAAACCTTCGGGTTCCGTAAAAGGTAGATTTTGACTATCAAATTCTAGAGAAGGTCTCTTGCATAGACATAGATGGTTTGTAGTTTGCTACATATTCACTGTATTTAATTAAACTGAGACTCTTACATGTGCTTCCGACCGGGTTTCGATTCCATGAAGGAATTTCTTTCTGTTAGGAACCGTGTCCAGGCTGACTCTGTATTCTTCGCAGATTCCTGTACAGTGGGTAACGGACGCTATTTACGAAGGGTTAAATCGAACGGAGCATGAAGCTTACCGCTCACTTCCATACAGAGCCGAGGTTAAAGATGTGTGGAGCTATACTTGGATCCCCGTCTTCATGGCTTGGTACTTAGCTAAGCACAGAGACGACATTAGTGTTGATGGTAACGGTTATGTGTAAAACTTCATGTGTGTGTGAGAAGATTAAGGGGTATTTTGGTCATTTTCGTCTTTCGCAAGAAAAATCAGTGTGTCAGCGGTTTGGGGGCCGTGAAATTACACGACGATAGAAATCACAATTTTCGATAGTAGTAACAAACAAACTACTTTGTTATAAAATGCAGTCTTGGTAACGAAGAGAAACAGGTGGAGTTGACGTTCACGTGAAGATATTACGTGACTAGGTTTTTGTTAAATATTTTAAAGTTATCATTATTACTATTTATACAGTTGTGTTTAACTTTCTTTCATCTACATCTTAAGATTCTTATTCAGTGACGCCTTATACTTGCAAAATTGATTTGCCCGGAGACATGAAAAAAACCAGAAGCTGCTGCTTCTTTGATGTTATGTGCAAAGCAAAGAAAGGCTGAATTTATAATTCCATCTGCCCACATTCAGCCCTCGACATGGGAAATTGTAGAGGAAAATGTGTCTGTTTTCATTCATTATAGTGCTGGTAACATATCAAGTCGAATTGTGGATACACTTTTGCAAAGTAGACCTAGGTCGTTTTGCATAATATTAAGTTAAAATTCTAATGCGTTATGTGTAAAAGAGTATGATAAAAAATTTGTTAAGTAAGGAAGGTAAAAATAATATTTTAAAATGTTAGGCGTAAATTTTTATTTTCTTTGTAACAAAAACTTTGTTCTTGTATAATAGAGTTTCAGAGAATTTGTAGTTATAGAGGGAGTTGCTAAATTGTAAATACACATACACTGAGGTTGTATGTTTTAATGTTGTTTCCTCTTTTAATTTATACTGATTTATTAAGCAGGTATGCAACTTCCTGATAAACATTGCTTCCATTTCAGACTAATAATCCACTTCATTAAATGTGAATTTTTATTACGACAGAAGAACTTCATATTTCCAGGTACATTAATTTTCGTATTCTGTTGATTACTTTATTGTATTACAGTTTACCACAGTAATGAATTTCGCTTTTAGTAATTCTATGCTAGTGTACCGTGTGCCTGAGAGGAAAGCCACTTAAAGAGAGGCGACAAGCAAAAAGTTAAATAAGCAACTTTGCAAGGCTACAGTTGTGAAAGCTCACGCCTGACTTCGTGAATACGTACAATTCTCTCCCGTACAAGCTGGCCGCTGTGTGAATAGACGCCAGTGCGGTGCACAAGGAAATGGAAACGTTTGTTCAGTTTATGTAGTGCATTGAATAAGAAAGCATTTCATCTTTCGGATCCTGACCATTGTTTATCGTCACATCGTCAAAATGAGGCTTTTGAATGCCGGCACAACAGTGCAAGCTTTATTCTGTGTTAGACATTTAGAAACGTTAATTCTCTACTGCTATAGAAAAGCTGAAATCAGAGACATGTTTAATATAGGTAAAGACATTCTATGATTCCAATAAATTTTGATAAATAGTTTGGAAAATTAGAAAGAAACCGCCTTCCACAATTGTAATTTCGTTGCCGACCGAAGAGGGCCTTGGACGCACCAGAGGCGACTTCTGGCACTCTCGAGCGAGAATTTTGTAACGAGGTTTTGGGCCTTCGATGTTCTTATAGAAGTTGCAGTTTCATCGCTTCAGACTAATAAGGGTTATGGGGGGGGGGGGTGCAGATTGTTCTGAGCCAGCGTCTTTTGGCGTGCCGGTCGTGCGAAACAACATGACAATTCGATTCAATCAGAGGTCTTAAGAAGAAAAGAGAATAGAAAAACGTGGCAGTTTGGAGTGCTTTGTTTTCCTCTCACGTGCGAAGTGAATCAGAGACTGGGGTGTCGCTGATTTAGTTTTTGCTTGTCCTTCGCTCAACATTTCTTTTTCTTTGAACTTCTTCGACCGCGAGTTTGTCGGAAAAAACGTGGGATGACCGGAGAAACAAAACATCTTGCAGAAGAATTTTTGTCCGTTTGGTATTTGTTATGTTTTTTTCAAATTTTCCCCGTTTTAAATATAAAATGGCCAGAAAGGAACCATTATTATTAGACACTATTATTATCATCATTATCATTAATATCATTATCGTTATTAATGTTGTTGGATAAATAACCTTCGATTATTCACTGACTTTATTTTCTCCCGTTTTGCCTTATCTTACTGTCATATTTTTTTATTTATTAATACACGTTATAGTCTAATGTAACATTTTTAGTTCTGCTAAACTTCGGTTTGTAACAGAATGATTTAATTTTAAAAAACTATGTTACGAAAATATGTCAGGTGTCAGATTTCTTTTAAGTATTTTGGAGTTGAAGAATTTCTTCCCGAAAATACTAACTGAAAGAATATTTCAGTAAAATCACTGCTTTTAAACTGGATCATAACACTGAACTTTCGGTTTCCATAACATAAGAATTTCTTCACCGTCTACGCGTACTGTCAACTTCTCATCAAGGCCTATGCTCCATGGATTTAGTTTGTGACGTATTATAATTATTCTGACAGAAATTAATGCTTGTCTTGTCAACATTACTAAGCCGAAATGACCCCAATAGCATTTTGTTTCAGTAGGCCTACTGTACAAGGTGTACCAACCCAACAGAGACACAACTTTGATGCTGTGTTCTATTTGTCTGTCTAATTAAGGTTGAGCTATCTCCAGCACAAACTTTGAACTACCATGCCTGTTATCACAGAAACTTCGTGCAAGTTTCTCTTTAACGCCAATTCTATAGAAGCCACCAATCCTCTCTGACGGTAATGTTGGGAAACCGCATTTCCAGGGGGGGCAGTTGCACTGGAGAATAGTTTACTCTGTGATTGGTTAGCAGTGAGGGGAAGGTGGGTTAGTAACTGGCTGTCCATTTTATAGTGTGGTGTTGTTAGTGTCGTGTTCACGAAGGCCCGTACTTGGGCGCTATCCTGAGGGAACCGAATCCACTCGCCCCATGACGCCGTATTTATAAGAGGTACGCTTAAAATTATCGTCCCATCTATGCTTAGATTTTTTCCATTAGCGATTTTTCGGCTACAATTTTTGTGACCATTTATCATACAGCATGAAGTATGTGGCGCTATAAATACATAATTACTTGCAATTTTCAAATTACTACGTTATTTAAAACCCAGTCTTGATTCTTAGTTGGTTTAAAACGCATTCCGACTGTCTGTATTATGTACCTTAGAGAGGTAAAGTGGTCTGGGATTGATAAATTTGAACTGGTGCGGACGTAGCTTTCCATACCATTAACAACAAAACAGTGTCCTGGAATTTGGCTGGAGGGACTGTAAAGGCTACCCCTCCAGTCAGGACTTCTGTCGTCCGTGGCGAGGTTTGAATTCTGGGGCTGCCGAATGAGAATTACTCTGTAGGGACGTTCGATTTCTGATCTGTTGCAGGAAACACATATCTTACTGTTTGAGAGGGTTGCTGGAAGACAGATAAGAAGATGCTCTTTCTTCACAGTTGCGTTTTATATATGACGAAGACAGAATATTCTGTATTGTACGTGAACATGTGAAATAATCTTAACTTCTAATGGCGCATATAAATTATTCTGGCGCTCGATTTATTTTTATTCTCGTGCCCAGCATTTATCTCCAGCTGCGATCCACATAAATTTGTTTATAGGACAGAACTCTCCTGTTTGTTGCTTTGTGCCTCATGGCTTCGGCATCTAATTAGAATTCTGAAGGGCCAAGTTAAATCGAAGTTCTAATTCCTCTGAATTTTATTAGCGCTCCTAGGAGGGAACTTGATGAAGCCTTTAGTAGTATCTGATAACTTCATCCCCATTGAATTCTGTATACTTCTGTATATTTTCGTAATTTATATTGTTACTGTCGATTTGACACGACCTGTTTTCCCAATTTTTAACAAATGCATAAAAATGTAAGAAACTGTAATTTTACCCGTTTTCCTGTTTATGCGCTTTGTACACGTACGAAATATGTCTGTTATCTTCGGAGAACGTACTTTCAGAACGAGTGTGTTTGACAACAGTGTGCTGGGAGGAACATGTTGAATGAAGTGGATACCGGATAAAATTGCATAGTGAAGAACTTCATACTCTGCACTTTTCAGCAGATAATATAAAGATAATTATAGGAAGGAAGTTTAAAGGGGCAGGGCATGTAGCACGCATTGAAGAGATGATAAATGCGTATAAAATTTTATCGGAGGTCGTGAAGGGAAGAGCCAACTTGGGAGACATAGGAGTTGATGGAGGCAGAATTGTAAACGAAGTAGAATGTGAGGTTTGTGACTTGATTCATCTGGTTTTCTCGAGTATGTCAGTTGTTTTGATCGCTTACCATTCTGTGTGGCAGACATGAAGCTCATCTTTCCCAGCCCTCTTCCTCCAACTGCCATCTTGTTTTCTGTTTATGACCTCGATTGAACTCGAATCCCGACCTTCAGACTCTGTGACCCCTCACTTCTGGTACAAGGTGTGACTCCGTCTCCGCTCTGGTACTGGTATGGTCTATTCAACGAAAGAAAAGTTGATTGCGCAGTCGCACTTCTTTAGTGATCAGTTTTGTTTAGGGTAAGGTATTAACCCTTTGGTGGTTTCGCTGTGGAACCAACAATGAATTCCTGTCTGTTACCTAGTGATAAAGTGGTTACATATACAACCACCTTCAATTTGAAATTTCAGTGGCTGAATATTTCCTCGTAAGTTACGTGCTTTAGTGATGAACAGCTTAAATATAAGGCAGTGTAAAATCAGACCTAAGTTCCAAAATTAATTCATGCTTCAAAGGGTTAAGAATAACTTTATATTTAAGTTATGGGTGGAATTAGTACATACAGTGATACATCGTTTTGTGACGTAATTGAACTCTCTTCTTACATGCCCTTTTATGGAGTCAGGATATTATCGCAACATTTTTAGCTAAAACAGTTAGGCCAAGGTGTCCGCACATTACCACAAAGTACTACGTACACAGACAGCCTTTAATTTTCCAATATTTGATCCAACATCTGAATTATCTTGGTCTTTGCATAAATATAATTAAGGAAAGGCAGTGTTTTAAGAGGCAGGGCTTTCTTTGTGGGGAGCGAATGCGTGTATGAGAGTTTGTGTCCGTCTATTTGATTGTCCACGTGTTTCTTTTCCGAAACTGCCGAACGGGTGCAGATGAGAATTCAAATCTGCTTCTCTTCACGGTTTCCCCATATCAAGGTTATCTTAACACAGAATTCGTCTTGAGAAGCTGATAGTCACTAAGCTCGCCTAGAAATTCCTTTCTTTTTACAGCACCAGAATGGTCATTATCCCTCGCACACAAGTGCCAGTCACTGAATCTCATTCCGAACTTGATGAATCAAGTACATAACCTTACATTCTGTTTGTTTAAGACGCATTTGAATATTAACATCCAATCTATGACCATGTTCCCAAAGTTGTCCTTTTCTTCAGGATTTCCGTCTAAAATTTTGTATGTAGATCTCATCTCCCTATAAGCTCTTCTCAATCCATGCTTCTCGACTGTAATGTTCTAAATGTTGTAAGTTGTACCAGAGTACACATCGCACTTAACAGACTGTAACACTGGGAGGATGCAACTTACGCTACCTTACTTGCATTGCATTGAAACTACGAAGGCGGAAAGGGGGCGTAGATGTAGAACGCCATGCACTTATTACCTTGGCACTAGCTCTTTACCTGACCCGTTTTAATCTGAGGAAAAGAGGTCTAGATAAAATGAGGAATCAGAACCCGTTTCGACGTTGCGGTAAAGATAAAATACTTGCTCCTGCAGGGAATGGAAATCTGAACATGTAGACTGTAGCCAGTCGCCTTGCAGAACTCTTACGACTCACACTGTTAAAACATAGTTCCAGTTGCCTCGATCTCTTTTTTTTTTGTACCTGAGCTACAAAGCAAGGATTGTACGGTGTTAATTTATTAAAAAGTTCTACGTGAAATACTTTATTAAAACCTTGTTTTTGCGTTAATTTTTATGAAAACTTTAAATTTGCATATTTAAAAGCTGCAAATTAATGTTTCAGCTGTCGAGGGAGATTTTGTTTCACTGGTACTGAGTACATGAAAGTTGCGGTTGAATGAATGAATTTAATTTAAAAGAGTTCTCGTATTTTTCAAACCCCGTCGAACCGTTTCAAACAAAATATTACGTGTCAAGTGTCAGTTTATTTTTACAGTTGTCTGTTACATATTATTCATTCAGAGTTCAAATCCTAAATACCTTTTGTCAGTTCAGTATTCTTTGTCGTTTTATTTGATTTTCGCGTGGATGTCTCTGTTCATCGCTCGTAGATTTCTGTATGAAAGATGATGTTTTAAAGATCACAACAGAACAACTTACCGTTCTGACGTGAAGATATAATTCCAATTTTCCCTGCCACCCGGCCTCCCACTGGCATTCTTACTTCCTCTTGAAGATCGAGAGCGAACCAAGCAGTAGCCAAAACGATGCAGGAGGTCGGTCAGCGTTTACCAGCAACAAACCTCCCCAGCATCAAATCGATCTGAAAATAAACAAAGCATTCTGGGAAGAACTTAAGAGTCTACTTTGCTTAAATTTGTCAGTATGTACAATGAGCTGTGAGTTAATAATTATAGATATTAGTTAGCTTACGTTTTGGTTGCTCAGAAGTGGTGCAGTGGACATGTTGAACCTGAAGCCACAAACCGTTTCAGTGCACAGGGACGGGCCCTTGCCACGATATGGTGTAGTAACTTGTAAGCAGTTACACAGTAAAGACCCTTCAGGGATCTGTACCATGAACCTATAACTCTTGTTTCTTAGTAACGTGGCCATTTTCGAGTGAGACATACAAGATTGTGTGTCAGGCAAAAATGTTCTTATGATTGCAGTTACATCTTGTCTTTTTATGGGGATATTATTTTCTCTCGTGGTAGAACAACTGCACCTTACATTAGAAATCCGTATTCTTTTACAGATATTGTATTAAGATATATTTAAAGTGCTTCTCTTTATTTCTTACAATTAAAACCTACGAAGATGGCTGTCTTCTATGCTGTAGCGCTGTGTAGTCTGTCCTTCCGCCTGTCTATTCGTCTATCTATCCAAGTACGGTCTCCACCCACACTTACGTCCGTTTTTCATCTCCATCATCCATCCCTTCACCCTGTCATTTATCCAGACATTTATTTATTCAAAACTGCTTCCATTCAGCCCACAGTTCCGTTGTACAGGCATTCACCCATCCATCCACCATTCACTAATCATTCTCATCCTTTATCCACCCTTCTACTTTGTTATTATTTTATCCAACCACTGATTTATTCATCAATACATCCATCCACCATTTCTCCATCCATCTCTGTGTGTGTGTGTGTGTATTTGAGCGTCATGGTAAACAATCATTGAAAAATGTTGTTGAATCTACCGTCTTCACACAACGAAATTATGCTCTTCGGCACTTGTATCTTATGATAGTAAGATTGGGGGGAGGGGGTAATATACATTAACCAAGTGCGCGTGAATTTTTTAATTGAACAATTTGTTGTGTGAATTCGGTAAAACCGCCAGTATATTTCAGTCTGTCTGGGTTTACTTCACGAGTGTCATGTTTCTGCAGCTCACTCTCTTTGCTCATTAGTGTGGCGAAGTCCTCTCATCTTTTTGCATCAGACCTGTCAGTCGCCTTGCCCCCAGCCAATAAATGTGCTTCGTATCATCACGAGCATTAGTTAGATACAGCGGTTAGTGGTCGGAACTCAACATTGTGAATATTTATGACGTAACACCTGGTTACCATTTCATATATAATACGAGTTTCCTTGCATAACATGGGCCACTGTGGGTGCAGCACTTTGTAAAAGCAAAATACTGCTCCCAAGGGATATTTAATTATTATGTAATTTCAAGGCGCTGTTTCAACTGCAGAAACTATACTATGGAAGGAAATGGGAAGATCGTAAATTATGTGAAACAGGCATGTTGATGTAGGATATAAAATTCAAATTAGTTATTA